GAACGCCTTCTGCAGCAGATCCTTTTGCTTTCTGCCGTAATAAATGCTCAAGCAGCGTAACGTGGGATGTTGTTGCTTTCATCATTGCAGCAATGTTTCCACGTTCAAATGCTGTTCTGCGATTACAATTATCAATAACAAATTATTTAAATCCATTGTTTACTTCAGCTCGCAAATGACAATAGCACAACAGCTGTTTTCAGACGCGTTTGCCAATGGAAACACCTCACGTCCGCCTATCGCGTTGCCAATCGAAAATACACAAAAATACCGAAAAAACCGCATAGTGGAAAAATGCCTTAAAAACATTTTTTTCAAATTAGACCAAAAGATTCGATGTATCGATACATCGATGTTTATTCCTGAAAAACATCGAAACATCGATGTTGGTAAACATCGATGATTTTCCAGCTCTACTATCGCAAAAGAGAGCCCGTCAAAATTGGATGGCGGACTAATAGCCCCTTCCCATAGAGTCCATCCGTTTGAATTTTAATTTAATTTAATTTTATTGTAGAATAATACAATAAGTAGATTAAGAAAAAAGTTAAAAACCATATCCGTTCAACGGATGGTAGATGGTGGATGGAGCTCTGTGGGAAGACACTATAACTGGGAAATTTTCGGAACGGCAAAACCTTACGGACCATTTGTTAAACGGATGGTGGAATGATCTCTGTGGGACCACCCTATAAAGCTCAGTTTCCACAATTATGTGTCCGACTTAACACACTTATACCCTGTTCAGACAGATGGGGCTTTTGCTCCAACGACCAAAATTCATCTCAGCGACTTTTTCTTTCATATATAGTACGCGTGCTAGAAGGAGACTGGAAAAGTGGCTAAAACTTCCCCAACCGCGATGTGACACCTTATACGCAGTATTTCAGTATTTATTTTTAAAAGTTATGGCAACTCTGTAACATTTTAGTTTCACCAGTACGCACTATTTATTTTAAAATCATATTAAAAAGCATATTGCATATAGCAATAATAAATGAAATTTTACATGATTTAAGTTCCGTGAAACTTTTCAACAAATAACAGCTGTTTGAAAATTCAACAGGAACCATTTTGGGTCGTTCCCTTAATTGCTGAAATTTTCTGTTGAATTTTCAACAATTCAACAGTTTGGGGAATACCCTGAGTATGTTTTTGGTATTTTCTTAGTTTATTTGAGTACCGCGGTGAAAAAGGGCCCCGGCTAAAGGCGTAAGCGTTTTCACCCGCAATGAATTTATGGCTTTGTTGACAAAAATATACACAAACATCAATTGGAGCAATTTAAAAAAGTCAAAAAAAGTTAAGCACCCAGGTCACATGCTTTAAATTTGCTTTTGGAATGGCGATATGTATTGCTGCAACTCCAGAAGGCGTTTTTTTCAGTGGCTATAACCTTTAGCCGGGGACTTTTTTCACCGCGGTACTCAGATGAGCTAAGGAAACTGTAAGGAAATACAAAAAAATACCGATGAACGCCTTAAGACGCGGCGCAAATAATAGAACATTTGATCTTTGCCTGTGTTTCTGCAGAAGCGGTGTTCCTGTAGTAAAAGAAAAATAAAAGGAAAATCCCAAAAACCAATGGAAAACTGCCTGTAGGAGTTGCGGCAATACATATCGCCATGCCATCAGCAAATTAATAGTCTATTTACACTGGGGTGGAGTTATGGAGTTATGGGGTTATTGACATAACCCTGTTTTTTTTACATAGGATGTGTATAGGGAACTAGATGTGGGCAAAAGTGGGGTACTTTTAGGGTCTTTGGTATTTCGGAGTATTTTTTTGTATATTTCGGTATATTTTTTATTTATTTCCTATCGTTGAAGGTCCATCCCTAGTCAAATGAACAACACAAACAACAAACACTAGATGCAAACACTTTTTTGGAGTAATCGGGTTATTGGCTCACTCGATAGGTTACCCCACACAGTGTGACTAGACTATTAGTCATTTTTAGTATACGAAGGAGAAAGGAGTTTAGTAGGTGACTAAGATAGAAGATAGGAAAGCATATAAGTTAGAAGGAGATCAACGATGGCAGGAGACAGAGAAGATTACAGCCGCAGTGCAATTTGTAGCATCGCTTCGCTTAGCCAAAAGCCTGGATCCAATCCGACCCTGACGAAGAAATTAATTCCAGCAAAAAGTAAAACTTAATAAAGTTTTCCCAGTCGGATATCTTGAGTTTTCTTGGGTCACGGGCAGTCACGTTAGTCGCGGTGTTTACGTAGCGATCAAACAGTCGAAAACATTTCGTTACAGTTTTCAGAGATTATATTATGCAGCAATGCCTCAATGGGTCCAAATCTACAGTGTTCTTCCAAAATTTTTATAATTTGCAACAATGGTGATTTTACATGACTCTACAGCGTAAAAACTTTTTTGCAGTAATCGGGTTATTGGCTGTCAAGATATTTAATAAAGCATTTAATGCTTTAATAAATCGATTTTTAACAAAAATATTTCAAAATAAGTCGATTAAAATAAAAATTATTTTTATCAAAAATAAATTCCTTTCAGGCTCCAAAAAAAAATGTAAATTGCAATCACAGTCATTATAGACCTGCAATTTTATTGTTCTTCAAATTTTATATTTGGATAGTTGTATTAAAATAAATAACTTTTTGGTCTTCTTCACCTCCATTCTCCTAATCTATCAACGTTACCAACACCAATTTTAGAATTCATATAGAATTCATTAGAGGAAATCGTGTCAAATAGAAATATGTTTTATTTAAGTTTGCTTGACTTTCTGGCGGAAAAGCCTATATATCAAAACTAATTGGGATTGTTATTGCTAATAATCTTGTTGCTATTCAGGACTAAAACTCAAGACTACATCACTATGGACGGTAGTCCATGTAGTGACGAAGCGCAAGCAAGGAGAGTGTGCGAAGCGACTACTATTATATAGCCGCAAAATTGAAAATCTGCTGTGATAGTTCGATCGTAATGAGTAATATACCCAATTAAAGGTATTGCTAAAACTTAAAGGATTGCATACCAAGCGGTAAAAGTGTAAAAGTGAAAATTTAGAAACAAACAAAGTCCTGAAAATTTGATATGATGTTCAACAGCTTGATATAAGAAACTTTTGTTCTACCATTTTTGGAAAAACCCGCTAGTTTAGCGGGAAAACTAAAAACGGAAGGCCTTCAAAACTATTGAAGCTACAGACTTGTGCTGTTTCTCGTTTTATAGGTAATTTGTGTGAATGTAATTTTTAAAAAGATATGGACAAAACAAAATTTTTTTAACCTTTTTTTAGCTTGTTTTTATTTTTCTCAAAAGCGGCTATAACGATTTTCTTTATCATGTTACTGTAAAAAATCACGTTTAAAAGTTATTAAGAAACGAAAATAGCCACTTTTGTCAGCTCAGAACAACTAACGCTTCCTGAGCATTTAATTTTGTGCGTGGGTGTCCAAACTGTATTTTAGGGTCATGGAATCAGTTAATTTGAATTTAACAGTTCCATATAGGAATCTTTTGTTCTACGACTTTTGGAAAAACCCGCTACTTTAGCGGGAAAAAAGCTAAAAATAGCTAAATATCGTTAGTTTGTAAGTTCTACCCTACTAAAGCTACAGACATGTACTATACCTCTTTTAAAGGGTGTTTTGAAATGATTCAACGCCTTTTTAAATTAATTCGTTAAAATACAATAGATTTAAAATTATGATTGACCAATTTAAATTTAAATGTATATATTGGTGCTGCAATAAAAAAGCCTGTGAAGAGTGAAGAAAAACAAGAAAGGAAGCTAGCTTCGGCCAGCCGAAGCTTATATACCCTTGCAGATCATTCCTATTAATTAACAAATCGCAAAAATGTTAAATTTTCTAATATTTCTCATTAATTTTCCGATCGTTCCTATGGCAGCTATATGATATAGTCGTCCGATTTTGATCAAATTAAAATTGAAATTCGAAAATATTTAAAAAGAGTCATATCCTAGAGTAGAAGATAATACAATAAAAACCAAAGAAGCTAGAATTTATTTCCTATTACTTTTCCATTAATTTTCCGATCGTTCCTATGGCAGCTATATGATATAGTAGTCCGATTTTTTAAATAATTAATTCGAAATTCAGATATATTTAATAAATAACATCCCCAAAAGTAGAAGGTAATATTTCAAAAAACACCGAAGCTAGAATTTTTTAAAGTTTTTTTTTTCCGATTGTTCCTATGGGAGCTATAAGATATAGTTGTCCGATTCGGTCGGCTCCGACATATATACTACCTGCAATAGAAAGAAGACTTTTGGGAAAGTTTCATCCCGATAGCTCAAAAACTGAGAGACTAGTTTGCGCAGAACCAGACAGACGGACAGACGGACAGACGGACGGACAGACGGACATGGCTAGATCGACTCGTCTTGTGATGCTGATCAAGAATATATATACTTTATGGGGTCGGAAACGTCTCCTTCACTGCGTTGCAAACTTCTGACTGAAATCATAATACCCTCTGCAAGGGTATAAAAAGGGCGGGAATAGTTAGCTAGGGCGGGCCGATTGATACAATTTTAGAAAGTTTATTTAATGACGACTGTGAGAACTTTTCGTTACAAATGTTGATATCAGAACTTTTGTATGTTGAAGGTGCGATCGTCACTAGTTTTTGAACTCGTTAAGAGGTGTTTTTATTTGATATATTACAAGACAAATTCAGCTAATGTAAAAACTTATTTATTTCGAAATCGATAGGAATCGCACATTAGTGTGCCTGCACTGCAAAATGAAAAAGCTTGTGTGGTGAAAAATCGTAACGGGACAGCAAGTAAGCGTAAGAGAAAATATATGAGCAAACTGCTCTCTTAAGGAAAACCGGGCCACCGTTCTAGAAATTAGTTGAAGAGACCAAAAATGTTGGTTCTCTTTGGTATGCTGCCGTTGTGGTGCTTTTTCTCTCGAATTCCGTGAGAGATGGACAGTTAGAAGGATTGTTGTATTTGTAGGGCCTTTGTTGTTCTTTTCCTTGGCCACCGCTGCTGGTGCTGATTTCTAGGTTGTTGTTGTGCTGCTGCTGCTCCTACAAGAACTGATTTCGCGTTGGCTTATCATGGATAAATCAGTCAACCTACGGGTAAGGCTAAGACAAGACGTATCGTGTCACAAAAAAGTTAGTCATAACATATAAAAAGTTTGCGGTTAAAGTTGTATAAGTCCTTTTTAGTTGCCACCGAGAGCAGAAGCAAAGGTAATTAATCATGGCTGAAAAATATAATTTTTATATTTTTTCTTTTTTGGAAGTGATAAAGTACGACAATAATTATAAAAGCAAATTTCGTGGTGATTGCATTGTTTAATTTTCACCAAATCATCTTGATAAAATAGCCAGTAACACAATAGGTAGTTTATTTGAATATATAAAATACCTACAATAAAATGTATTCAAGAAGGTTCAACATTTTGCAATAACTTTGCGCATATAGAATATATCTGCAGATGTATATGAGTAAATTTTTTCTTTGGTGCTTTTGCTAACACACATTGCTCCCACAGCTTCAAAGTAACGCCATCATCAGTACCATTCTTGTTGGTACTTCTTGGTTAAGTCCTTACAACGAAAGCTTTTTCTGACTCGCTTTTCGATTTTATTAAAGTAATGCTTTTAACGCAGTCACGAACCAGAAGCACGATGAAGCTCAAAAAAGTTAGCATCGGTGTATAGATTAAAGAAAACGAAATGAACCCTACAGTTTTACTAAGCTGAATACGGCTTACCTGTTACTCACAGCCGGTGTAAAAAATGGTCCTTACTGAAAAGCGCGAACGACAATTCCTGGTAACACTACCCAAGAATTAAAAGTCGCTATGAGGCGAAAGGGCCATTAATTAATTAATTATCACAAAACTAATGTTTTATTTTAGTTTGGTTATCGGTTTTATTTTTGGTACTCTAAGGGCCGGTTTCTCGAGTGCCGGCTAACATTTCTCGAACAGATACAGTCCCTGCTAAGGGATTTTGGCTTTCTCGAGCATAAATGTGAGAGCTAACTTTGACAGGGCTGGTTTCTCGATTCCCTGTCAAAGTCCCTGATAGCTATCTGTTCGAAAAACTTAAAGACCAGATAAACTGTTCGTAAAAGCAAATCGGCTTCCTCGACTGCTTTAATTTATCTGAACGAGAAACAATTACAGAGTGCTGTTAACGCACAGAATTGTGCTGTGAAGCGCAAAAAATGGCGTGCTTCGATTATTTCATCAGCTGTTTGGGTATATTTCAAGGGAAAAGTCAGCTGTGATTTCGTTTCTTCTTCATAGTTGCTTTGGGAAATCAGCTGTCATTCTGATTACGTTTTGATTGCACTTCACGTTTTGATTGCACTTCACGTTGTTTCGTTACGCTTTGATTGCAAGCGCAAAAGTGTTGAAAACTGGAAAAATCTGTATTTGTATTTATTGATATTTTAGTGATTTTTCCAAACATTTTGGTAATACAATTTCAGCTGTCATTCTATCGAGCCGAAAACGCTTAACAGGGACTCCGAGTCCCTGTCAAAGTTAGCTCTCACATTTATGCTCGAGAAAGCCAAAATGCCTTAGCAGGGACTTTATCTGTTCGAGAAATGTTAGCCGGCACTCGAGAAACCGGCCCTAAGCAGAGTGTCCTTACACTCAAAAAAAAACAGCCCGAAATCGCCATTAAATCAAGAAATTCGCCATGAATTTCAGTCGATGGCGATTTACCGTATTTTTTAGAAAGGAATTTTCCAAAATTTAGAAAAAAATTTCTGAAAAGCAGAAATACTTTTCTAAAATCAAGAAAAAGTGCCATAAAATTGCGAAAAATTTCCTTAAATCCAGAAAGTACTTTTCTTGAAAATATAATTTTTTTTCTTAAAATAAGAAAGGACTTTTTTTATTTTCAGAAAATTTTATTTATTTTAATAAAATGTATACATATTTATTTTACTATTTTATTTCCTAGACAAGAAAGAGAAAAGAAAATAAAAAGGATGAAAAGAAAATTATTAATATTTCCTAAACAAAAAAGGAAAACAAAATAAAAAAGATAAAAATAAGATAATAAATATTTCCTAAAGAAAGAAGAGAAAAGAAAACAAAAAAAGATAAAAATTACATTATAAATATTTCCTAAACAAAAAAGAAAAAAGAAAAGAAAACAAAAAAGATAAAAATTATTAATATTAATATTAAGTAGGTATTTAATATATTACCTATTATTAAAATTTACTTACTGCCAAATTATCAACAATACCTGAAATTGAAATTATTCCTGCAATCGAAAATAAAAATTAATATTAGAGAAGGATAGTATTTGCGGCCTGCAATAGTATGGCCTTTGGTTACCATAAATTTTCACACACTTACCAAATTTATATTTAAATTTATTTAAATTGCTTACCCATTAATTGCCTCTTAGAGGGATCGCACTTTAACTTTCTTAAATAGGCTCAACACAAACTTATTACTTTGAATGCTCATCTAAAACTGAGCACAAGGGTTCAAGATGCAGCGCAACGCAAGCAACTCCCTCGCGAGAGACTGCATTTCCAAAACAACAACGCAATAAAAGTTACAGCTACGCACAAGAAAATTCTCGATCATACGCACAAACACACATAAACATATACATACATACGCCAAAAACTGTCGTCGCAACGCGCCGCGGACTAACCCCTTGTCTTCTTCTTTTTCGTTTCGAAGAAAGAGTGAGAAGCATAAAAGAAATACAAAAAGTTTTTCTTAAATCTATGGTGATTTTCTAGTTCTACTTTTTTGTTTTCAAGAAAACATTTTTTTTTAATTCAGAAAAATATAAAATTTAGAAAAATTTACCGTATTTTGTATGGCGACTTTCTAGATTATAGGAAGGGCTGAAGTACATTTTTTCTTAATTAAATGGCGAAATCGCCATTAATTTAAGAAAACTTTTGGAGAGCAAACTAGGAAAAAACACCATTGATTTAAGAAAAAAAATTCATTTTTCTAAATTTTAGAAAGGGTTTTCATAAAATTCTGTTTTTATGGTCTTTTTTCCTAGATAGAAGAAAACAATTTCTAAAATTCAGAAAATTTCCTAAAATTAAGAAAAAATTTCATTTTATGGCGATTTTCTAAAATTTAGGAAAAAAAATTTTTTGAGTGTAGGTTTCATACGCAGCGCAAGTTTGTTTCAGCCGATTTAAAAAAAATGTCTGGCGCCGAGATGCAGAATTTTTCAAATCGGGCAATTCGTTTAAAAGTTATGCGCGATCAAAGTTTTATATCTACATCTCCCTCGCACTCTCTTTAGCTGAGTAACGGGTGTCTGATAGTCGGGGCACCCGACTATACCGTTCTCTCTTGTTTAAGTTGAAATTAGGTAGAGAAGGCAAAGACAAGCGTTAAAGGCATATACATATACAAAAATTTTAAACAGATGCTTGATTTTCATCAAATATATTAATTCAGAGCATCGAGTTATCTTGAAAAAGTAAGCACAATTTTGGTGAGATAAGACTATTAAATGTATATATGTGTGTATATATTCAACAAATGTTTTTTTAGACCAATAACTGTTGTATAAGCAGCATATCAAATAAATATACATCATTCCAATCGTAACACGCAATTTGCGAAAATATTTTAAATAATAAAGAATAATAAAGAAGAAAATAAATACACTAGTTTACAAAATAATATTCTTGGTGTGCTTCCCAGCAATTGATGGCAAATTTTGTTAGTGTTGGACCCCCAGATCACAAAAATAGCACTTACTTTTTTTTCGATGGCACAGTTTTTTATACCCTTGCAGAGGGTATTATGATTTCAGTCAAAAGTTTGCAACGCAGTGAAGGATAAAGTATATATATTCTTGATCAGCATCACTAGACGAGTCGATCTAGCCATGTCCGTCTGTCCGTCGGTCCGTCTGTCCGTTTCTACGCAAACTAGTCTCTCAGTTTTCAAGCTATCGGGATAAAACTTTCCCAAAAGTCTTCTTTCTATTGCAGGTAGTATATAAGGCGGAACGAGCCGGATCGGACAACTATATCATATAGCTCTCATAGGATCAATCGGGAAAAAAATGTAAAAAAATTATATCTTGGGTGCTTTTGAACCTATAACATCCTACTTTTGAAAATGTCATTTTTTATCTAATTCTGAATTTCGAATAAAATTTTTTCAAAATCGGACGACTATATCATATAGCTGCCATAGGAACGATCGGAAAATTAATGGGAATATAATAGGAAATAAATTATTGCTTCGTTGGTTTTTATTGTATTCTCTTCTACTCTAGGATATAACTCTTTTCAAATATTTTCGAATTTCGGTTTTAATTTTATCAAAATTGAACTACTATAACATATCAAACAAAAACACTTCTTAACGAGGTAAAAAACTAGTGACGATCGCACCTTCAACATACAAAAGTTCTGAAAAAATATTAGAAAGTCTATTTAATGACGAGTGTAATAATTTTTCGTCACAAATGTTGATATCAGAACTTTTGTATGTTGAAGGCGCGATCGTCACTAGTTTTTTACCTCGTTAAGAGGTGTTTTTATTTGATATCAGAAGTTTTTGTTTGTTTACATTTGCTCTCATAGGAGCTAATATATACATTTAAATTTAAATTGGTCAATCATAATTTGTAAGCCATTGTATGTAAACAAATTAAGTTAAAAAGGCGTTGAGTTATTTCAAAATACCTTTTAAACGAGGTATGGCACATGTCTGTACCTTTAGTAGTGTAGAACTTACAAACTAACGAAATTTAGCCATTTTTAGCTTTTTCCCGCTAAAGTAGCGGCTTTTTCCAAAAGTCTCAGAACAAAAGATTCCTATATGCAACTCTTAAGTGCAAATTTACTGATTCCATGACCCTAAAATACAGTTCGGATACCCTCACACAAAATTCAATACTCAGGAAGCTTTTTAGTTGTTTGAGCTGGCAAAAGTGGCTATTTTCGTATAAAAATAACTTTTAAACGTGACTTTTTACAGTAATGTGTTATATACCAAAATTTAAGGAATCTCAAGGGCTATACAGTTTAAAGTTTTCAAGAAAATCGTTAGAGCCGTTTTTGAAAAAAATAAAAAAAAGCTAAAAAAAAAGTTTTCAAAAATTGTCTTTTGTTCATATTTTTTTAGTATAGAAGTTACGGTTTTCCGAATTTTAGCTATTTATAGCTGTTTTCCCGCTAAACTAGCGAGTTTTTCCAAAAGTGGTAGAACAAAAGTTTT